ACATCAAGGACGTCAAGAGCTCGTCCGGCACGTTCCTCAACCACATCCGGCTGAGCCCGCCCTCGCAGGAGAGCAAGGCGTTTGCCGTTAACGACGGCGACATTGTGCAGCTTGGCATCGACTTTAAGGGAGGCGAGGAAATGATTTTCCGCTGTGTCAAGATGAGGTTGGAGCTGAACCGCGGGTGGCAGAATAAGCCCAACACGTTCAAGTGAGTGCATCTTTATTTATATCACAGACTGTGTAGACATGGGGGTGAAAACGAAACAAGTCCCTCTTCTTCTTTCCCTTATTCCCATGCTATTCATGGGTTTTGAACCATGGCTAACCGTTTTGCTCAGCATGGCCGCTCACAAGAGGCTTCGTAACATGGCAACCACTGGAGCAGCAGGCTCCGCGTCCAGCACCAATTCTCAGGACTGCTCCATTTGCCTCAACTCGATTGGCGTAAGCATTTCTTCTGGCACTCGATTATGACTCTCAAGCTAACTCTCCAACAGCCTTGCCAATCACTCTTCGTTGCCCCTTGCTCTCACACATGGCACTTCAAGTGCGTCCGCGCCTTACTCACCTCTCCACAATATCCCATCTTCATCTGTCCCAACTGCCGTGCCGGAGCCGACCTGGAAGCCGACGTCGAGGACCCTGAAGAGTGGCAAAACATGGATGATTTTGAGGCCCCCGAAGAGCCAGCCGCCCCTACCACCATCGATGTGCCTGCCCCAGAAATCGAATTGCCTCTGCCCTCTTCCTCTGAAGAACCACACGAAGCAACGGTTCAAGAAACGGACACCATGGACGTGACTGTGAATTTTACTTCAGCAGCTAGCCCGGCCGAGAGCCCGACGGCACCACACGCAACTTCCGAGCCGTTGCCCATAAGAGGTGCCAACCGTACCGCCCATTTGCGTGAAAACGGCACTCCCTCGCCACCTGGTAGCGGGGCAGAGGGACTCATCACCCCTAGGAATAATGCAGGGCCATGGGTATTTGACGGCAGGGCAGGCCGACAACCAGCGAGCGACACAGCCGACATGCCGAGCCTCGACTCTGCGGCAGACGCCGACATGACCACACACGAGTCCAGCGACGACTCTGCCAGCCGGTAGCACCAAGTCGAGCAACTTGAGAGCATTCCACATTTGGCGGCGTGTCTGTTGGCCCATGGTGCCAGCCTTGGGGGGCTGCTACTAATCATAATGTATCGTCTTTTAACCGTCATGTTTTACTCCTTGTTCGTCGCCTCCTCTGCCTACTGGGCATGGGTGCAGACGTCTGTTGCATCAAACTTGTGTTCGACCTGATTTGGGGCGGCGGATTTGTCCTTTTTGACATGTTGATCTCACAGTCTTTATTTCTTCTTCCTTTTCTTTTGTCGATTTCCTGCGTGTTCGGAGTGTGGCGTGATTCTCCATGGAACGAACCGCAAAACAGACTTTTGGGCGTATGGCGTCATGATCAAGCATGGCTCATTCTGGCCGCAAACTGGGAGGGTGGAAAGCATCTTTAGCATGGGCACTAGCGCGGGATATGGTTAGAAAGCTACAATTCTGATTTCTCTATTTCTCTCTCTCCCCGAATCACTTGTTCATTCTACTTCTGCATGGTTCGGTTTGCTCTTGGGAGTGGTGAAAACTGGGAAGAGGCTGTTACGACATGTTCATTTTCCGCACGGTATGGTTCGGAGTCGCCGCCTGGCATGTTCACGGGCTGGTCTTACGGCGCCAATTTGAGGGTATAGGCTAAAAGATTTCGGGGAACCGCTGCACTTTTACTTTTGGTGTAAGACAGGGGGGGAAAGAAAAGTGATGTCGATTCCAATACAAGAAAAACGGCCCTCTGGGATTTCTCGGTCTTTTCGCAGCGTGTGATTTGAAAGGCCGGAGTTTTGAGTGGGATATGATGTCAATGTGGCAGCGTTTGACGGTGATTGGTTGGGCAACTCTGGCTGGAGAATTGCGGCAGCGGCTCCGAGATGAGGTGAACTTGGGGGCTTTGAAACTGCCTGCATTTTTTTTTGGGGGGGGGGGGGCTGTTACTCCTTCGACGGTACTATTGAGTACATATATGTAGCATCGTCTATTTGTAAAATAGTACATGGTAATGCGTACATGTCAATATAATGTTGGCTTCTGATCGGGTTTGAACTGGAAGATGCCGTCGGAGCTCCGGCACCGGGATGATCCGACCTATCGCCGAGATACTACTACTATGTGACGGCACCACAATTTTCCTTGTGCCGGAAAGTGCAAGCTTGCTCGCCTCTTTTTGGTTTTCTTTCGAGCCGAGCCGTGAAATCCTCTTTCTCTCCCTTTCCAAGGGGATCTCTATTGTCATTCTGTTTAGGTAGAGAAAATAAGAGGGCTTTTTTTTTCTTCTTCTTTGACAATGCTGCGACAGTTTGCGTCTCGGGTGCAGCCTCGGGTGAGGGCCCAGGGCGCGAGGCTGATGAGTGCGCAGAGCAAGTTTGGTGCGGTTGGGGCGCAGATGGCGAGGCGGACGATGGCGACGGTCAAGGTGGAGGGGATTCCAAAGGTTGGTGATGCGAGGCTTCTCTTTTACCTTTGCGTCTTGGGGGCTGAAGACGAGGCCTCTCCTTCATCTTTACGTCTTGGAGGCTAATTCTGGGGATCCAATGTGCAGGAACCTACTGAATTGGACGAGATTACGACACTGCCGAATGGTTTGCGAGTCGCTTCCGAAGCCCTCCCCGGTTCCTTTTCCGGCGTGGGAATCTACGTCGAGGCAGGTTCTCGGTTCGAGAACGACTCGCTGCGAGGCGTTTCCCACATCATGGACCGGCTGGCGTTCAAGTCGACCTCGAGACACTCGGCCGACGACATGCTCGCGCGGGTCGAGACGCTCGGAGGGAACATCCAGTGCGCATCTTCGCGGGAGAGCATGATGTACCAGGCCGCCACGTTCAACAGCGCCGTGCCGGAGACGGTGGCGCTGCTGGCGGAGACGATTCGCGATCCGCAGATTACGGATGAGGAGGTTGCGGAGCAGATTGAGACGGCGCGGTACGAGATTGCGGAGATTTGGAGCAAGCCTGAGCTGATATTGCCGGAGCTGGTGCACACGGCGGCGTTCAAGGACAATACGCTGGGGAACCCGTTGTTGTGTCCTGAGGACCGGTTGGGGAGCATTGATAGGAGCACGGTGAAGATGTATAGGGATCTGTTTTACCGGCCGGAGAGGATGGTTCTGGCTTTTGCGGGTGTGGAACATGGGACTGCGGTTAAGCTGGCTGAGGAGTTCTTTGGAGACATGAAGACGCTTCCCCGGACGGGCTCAGAAACCAGCGTGAGCTCTCTTGCCAGCGACGCCTCTGCTTCCTCATCAGCATCATCATCATCATCTTCTTCTTCAAGCTCCTCTTCTTCACGATTAATGTCCAAGATCCCCCTCTTCAAAAACATCTCCACATCTACCCCCCGCAACGCCACTGTCCTTTCATCTCCTTCTGAACTCGACATCACTCAGCCTTCTCGATATACCGGTGGCTTCCTCTCTCTTCCTCCCCAGCCGCCGTCTCTTACTGGCACCAACTTTACACACATTCACCTTGCGTTTGAGGGACTGCCCGTTGCTTCAGATGACATTTATGCGCTGGCAACATTACAGACTCTTCTCGGTGGAGGAGGATCTTTCTCTGCTGGTGGACCGGGCAAGGGCATGTACTCTCGCCTGTACACCAATGTGCTGAACCAGCACGGCTGGGTTGAATCATGCGTTGCCTTTAACCACTCCTACACCGACTCTGGCCTCTTTGGCATCTCGGCATCTTGCTTGCCGGGTCACACCTCTGCCATGCTGGACGTCATGTGCCAGGAGCTCCGAGCGCTGACCCTCGAACGGGGTATTTCGAAGCTGCAAGAGGGCGAAGTGACACGAGCCAAGAACCAGCTGCGGTCATCGCTGCTGATGAACCTTGAGAGCCGTATGGTAGAGCTGGAGGATCTCGGACGGTCGGTTCAGGTGCACAAGCGCAAGATTCCCGTGCGGGAAATGTGTCGACGGATCGAGGCGCTGAGCGTGCGGGACTTGCAGAGGGTGGCGAGCATGGTGATGGGCGGCGCGGTGAAGAATGCCGGTGGAGGCAGTGGTGCGCCGACGGTGGTGGTGCAGGAGGCGCAGGCGTATGGGGTGACGAGCCATACGATGACGTGGGATCAGATTCAGGATCGGATCGATGGGTGGAAGTTGGGGAGGAGGGCGTGATGAGGTTTGATGAAAAGAATGGTTCCGTGGTGTGAGGGTTTGAAGGTTTTAAAAGGGGATGATGACGGGACGATATAAAACTTGGCATATTATATATTGGCGCGGGAAGGGTGGTATTTGGGATGATATACGTGTATACATATTGCGGATTTGTACGATTATATGGGTACCTAGTTATTGAGATATGATGCTCTTTATGAATTGTTTGTGTGCTTTGTTGTGAGTGTTGTTATATCAAGATGAGTAGTGAGAAGATGGAGTTGGGTGTGGAATACATGGATGGGAATTATCTCATTATGTTTTTTCTATTATTCATGCCCCTTTGCCGATGCATGGCGCTATGATTGTGTAAAGGTATGCATCTTCTATTAGTAGAGGTGTGTTGATTCTATGAGGAGAGCGTCAGCAGTATATAGGTGGCGGGGTCAATGTGTACCTCGTAAGCAGCTGATGATGATACCTGTAATTAATCATTCTAATTGGAGACTCACATCATAGCTCTAGAATATTTTTCGCTATCCAGGTATACCTTTTTCAGTTGGAGAAACCACCTGGACCGCCGGATAAAGGTTCCCCCTTTCCGGGCTTCGCGCTCTAAGATATCTTGACCCTAACCCTAAAGAAACCACCTGGACCGTCGGATAAAGGTTCCCCCTTTCCGGGCTTCGCGCCACCCTTCTTGCATTAACATTTCGCGTTCTGGATCTCATCAACTTGCATTGCATCGGTACATGGGATTGAAAAGCATGGGTACACAGCCATGCTAGAAGCAGAACATGATGAACTCTGATTCGCGAGACATAATATCCCAGCATCCCATTGGGAGTGGCTTGGATCAGTATCGCGATCTTGTTCGCGCAAAATGTGAGGCCCAAGGGTTGCCGCCTGGGGCTTTTCAACGGCTCGATGGTGAAGGTGAGTACCTCCTTATACCTCCCAGCACCCGCCCATAGGCTCTACTATATCTACGTGAATCTATCTACATCTACCTTCTCTATCGTGCTAATACGCGTTTAGCGCTGAAAGACATCCTCGTGAATCTGCTGGAATCGCTGCTGGCGCTACCTCCTGTAACATCTCTTTATTGCCGCACTTTGGTTCTGTCTGTTGCTATTTTAAGGCGTCTATTAGGTATTAATAGGGGCTTTGATCGCCACCGGTTGATACCCTTTTTAGATGCCGCGCTGAAGACTGACTCTGACTCTGACTCTGGCTTTGATCAAGGCGTATGGGAAAATGCCATCAAATTTCTTGAAGAAGCGACACCTCCACCCCAAGCAGGGGCTGTAGCTTCGCAGCAAACGCCACCGGAGCAAAAGACGGCCTCAATTTCACAACAAACTCCATTATTCTTTAATACCGGGAATCTTGTGGACACGTCGGAGCTCCGTAGAGATGTGGACCATGTTCTCAGTCAAGAGCTGAGCAATATACATGTCAACGTGCCCAATTTTCGCCAGACATATTTCAGCCTCGACTCTCTCGACCATATTGCTACATCAGTCCTCGAGCGTTGCACCCAGGGCGATGATCCCCTTTTCGATGATGGGTGGGCTGGGTGGCCTCAAAACCCAGAGGAAGGACTTGTCCTCGCTTGGTTTTCCAACCTGAATGAGAAGCTTGTCCAGCTAGCAAGAAGCGCAGACCCTTCTTTACAGCTTCATCATCCACCTAGATTAAGAACGAAGCCACAGGAGCCCCTCCTGGGCTCTACAGCAAAACGCATGATGGATATTGGGTACGTGGGTTTCATGGACGGCGATGAAGCCGCCAACTTTAAACATCATTGGTCCCACGTTATGATAGTGGGTGAATTAAAGAAAACCCCAAAGACTGACAACCGGTCGGGCTCCTGGCTTCACGTTGCAAGATACGCCAGAGAAGTACTCGCTGCTCAAGACAGCCGCCGGTTTGTCCTAGGTTTCACCCTTTGTGGCTCCTTGATGAGACTCTGGTCTTTTGATCGTCTTGGAGGTATCGCTTCTGAACGATTTGACGTCAACCAAAACCCCCTGGAGTTTATATCCGCTGTTCTCGGCTTCCTCATGATGAACCCTGAACAGTTGGGATATGACCCTACCATTGTACAGTCCGGGACGCAGCGATATATCGAGATACATCGCGACGGCCAAACAGAGCGGCTCATTCTGGACCAGTTGATATTTCGCCAACGATGCATTGTTGGGCGAGCAACAACTTGTTGGAAAGCACACCGGGATGGAGATGACGGCGAGACTAGGCAAATTTTTGTGATCAAGGATTCCTGGCAATATCCCGAACGCAATGAAGAAGGATTGATGCTCCACGAGGCAACTGTGAAAGGTGTCACAAACATGGCAAAATACTATCACCATGAGGTTGTTCAAGTGGGGGGCATCGATGATGATATTCGCAGCAATGTCCGGAAGGGCTTGGACTGGACGGTAGCTACCGTATCACTACCAGTTGACTCAGAGGCATCATCTCCAGCGGTATCAGTGCAGGTGTCAAACTCGAATAGTTTGATCACCAGCCAACGCGAAACTCCAGGTAGCAATGCCGGAAACCAACGAAAGCGTGCTTTGTCACGAGCTGAATCACGGCCGCATCCACGGAAGCGACGGTCGCATATGTCCACGCAGACATCTCGCACCGACAAAACAGAGAATCGCGTCCATCGCAGGCTAATACTCCAAAGCTATGGGAAGCGCATCCACGAGGCCAGTTCACCGAGTGCATTGCTTGCTGGTCTAGAAGCCTGTATCAATGGCCACCAGTCTCTACGTCGCGAGGCCGGTCTTCTGCATCGAGATATTTCCATCAACAACCTCATGATCAACGAGGAGGAGGAAGATCCCGCACGGCGTGGGTTTCTCATCGACCTCGACTTCGCAATACAGGAGGCGCGGACTAGTGCGTCAGGGGCGGCGAAGAAGACTGGGACGCGAGCGTTTATGGCCATCGGAGTCCATCGCGGCGTTCAACACTCCTTTATGCATGACCTTGAATCATTCTTCTGGGTTCTCTACTGGATATGTATTCATTACGATGGACCGGGCCATTCTATTGGGCCTACCGCGCTCGAAAAATGGAATTACACTGATGACATGGAGCTTGCTCGGTTCAAATTTGGAATCATTGGTGATGAGCGTCCATTCCTTTCCGAGGCGAAAAAGGAGTTTACTGAATACTACTTGCCGCTGCTGCCGTGGGTCAACAGGCTCAGAAGAGTTGTGTTTCCGAACGGCAAGCCGTCGACGGAGCCGGATGAAGGGCTGTATGCGAAGATGAAGGGTATTCTTCAAGAAGCCAGAGAAAGTCTAGACTCATAATTAATGATATGTACGATTAATGGAAGTTTTACGGCATGGCTCATGTTTTTTGTTCCAGTCGCAGATGCTGAGGGATTTTGATAGATGTTGGTAGACATCGTTCCTCGAGACAATATATAGCTCAGACTATACAGGCTTTACGTTTAAACACCATGTTGAGTTTAACAAGCCGTGGTGAATGTCGCAATGAGAATACACCTCTATCTCTCACCTCAAGAGATTAGAGGGAATAGAGGCATCACGTCTCTCCGCACTCCTACTTGTACCTCATACCAAAAACTTAACCAGCGTCGCTGAATAGCCACTGGGCCGTGAGGAGGCTCAATGACTCCCATGCTTCCCGGACGCCTTTTTTTCTCTCCTTTCGCTCTGGTAGCTGACTAGTGTTTAAGGCGTCCGTCGGATGCAAAGATGCATGTTGAGCTGACATAGGTCATACATCTTGCCCGGGATTTGCTTATCAATTCGCCGAAACAAACTCCCAACCACCATCGCGAGAAGGATTCGCTTGGCAATGCAGATGCAGAGCAGCAGGAATCTCGGGCTGCTCACTCGTATTGAGCTGCGGCTGAGATTTCATTACTCTCTCTTTTCTTTTTGGTGAAAGCCGTGGCACACCTCTTGGGATATATCATATATCCGAAGGCGGCGCACGGCTGAGACATGCGTGGGGGCCATCTCTTTGTTATTGGAGTTGTTGTCATGCATGACATGGTATCCTTGTTTAGTTCATGGATGATCTTCATGATCTATGATTGGCTTGGCTCTTTGATGCGACTTCGTATTTTGCTACTGCTGCGACTACTACTACATGGGATCAAAGTTGCCGCTCTGGGCTCTCCAGTGGAAACGGAACGTTTAGTGTGATGAGACCTCATATTTGGATACTACAAACAAATTACATATTATTGCCGGATACTATAAGATATCAAGGCTATCTTATTATGAGAGTAAAACATAAGGGTCAATATTTATCCCAAAGGTAATATTGACTACATCGCAAATGAAGTCTCCGCAGGAGGGGGCGCACAATGCAGCCTAATCTGAGTCTGGTGACCGTATCCGTTTATTTTCCTGCCCAATAGATCGCAGGAATATATGAATTCGGTGAAGAGGCATCTGTATTATGCTACTGCATGTTGGTTGCTTCTCATTTTGTAAAAGTTGATGCCTAGGCTGGGAGTAAACCCTGTCACTTGCATGAAGTTCACCGGAAAGAAAGAAAAGAGAGACAGAGGGTTTTGTAATTCAGCTCTATTTTTGAGTAACAATAGAGCGATGGCGTCATCTTACACCCAAGAAGTCTTGAAACTGGTCCTCGAGATCTTTAGAATTTGAGATATGACATGGTGTCTTTGCAACGAGGATCCTAATGTAACTTGGGAGATACGTAGAGCAAAATCAAGATCTGAGAGATGTGGGTATGATTTCAGACCAGCAACCGATACAATCGAGCCCTTTGATAGATCTAAGTGTATACTAGCCTTAATGTTAAAGAGCGTTGAACCGATAAGTTCAAATACGGCCTCCTAGTCATCTCCTTTGACCTCCAGCGTTTATCGACTCAGTGTTCATCGAAACAAAGAAAGAAAAAGAGGAAGAGGAAGCGGAGCATGTCTCGGAAGCTTTCTTGTCATTCACACCATGCCTCTGAATAATTTCCGCGTCGGAGTCGCCGCAGCTGAGAGCGAGATGTCTCAGCCTCGTCCTTTTACCAGGGTGTCCAACAAACAATCACCCCCGGGAAGCCGCTCCAGCGCGCGGCAAGTGTAACCCGGATGAGAAGATTGTGCGCATTTAATCTGCTCTGGGGCAGTGCGGCGGTGGATATACGAATATTTATTCGATAATACCGAGATGCGTCAGCGTGAAGGGGGTCTTACAGGTATGTACGGAGTACGGAGTACGGGTTGAGCAAAGATACGACGCCCGCATCTGTTGACCTGAAAGATTGTGGGATATCCTTGGGAGACGAGAAAAAGAAAAGAAAAGAAAAACTCGCCGGGGGACACATTCAGCTTGCTATACGAGCTACCCAATGGTCAACGGCATATAACCATTATATATTTTTAACGAGTTTTTCCAGCAGTAGGTAGTCTTAGTATCTGCACATTTTCAACTTAAGTTAGACTCAACAATCTATTATTTTATGTGGCGTAGCAGCAGCGCTGAAATAACCAGGTTACCTAGACATCAGCTTCCTGGGAAAGCAAGGATTACAACGGAGGGTGTCCAGCTCGGGTCATGCAGCTTATTGTGCAGATTGTGGTTGCCTATATGAAACATATTTCTGAAAAAGCCACAACTGTTATTTCTTTTTGTAACAACAGCTATTGCGAGATAGTTGTTCAGCTGTTAGCCACTTCGATTCCTGGGAGGGGCTGCTATTTGAAGGCTGGCATTATCTGTCTCCAGAAGTGGCAACTGAGACATGCGCATTTGTGGTGCACTTACTCATATTGACTTCTAAGTAAGCATATATTGGCATTTTCTAATTCAACTTCTTATAAAAAGACCTGGGTCGTATGCACACTAATGCACAAAAGTCTCGTTAATACATACCTATCTATTGCAGCCGGTACTCTTCTCCTTCCGCCACACCAACATCGCCTAGTCTTACCATTCAAGCTCTGTGCAAATCTTAAGAAGAAAGCACAAGTGATTAGGGTGTACATCGGTATCATTGATATTGAAACTCCCTCCACGGCGAGTGATTCGACTTTTACAGATTTTTACTTCACAAATGGCCGCCGCTGTGGATGAAGTCGGTATGTCACGTCACTTACTTCCATGCCACATTACCACTGACGGATTTTCTTCAAGAGTCAAAAGCGGAATTGGCCATTCCATTTGATGCTCCCATAAAGGCTCGCAATCGAAAAACGTATGCCTCTTTTGGCGAAGACGGTCTCACGGCAACGGCAAATGCTCATGGACATCTGATTCAGATTACGCGATATTTCGGAAACGAACCATCAGGATTTATTTGTGTTGACCTTCCAAAAGCGCCTGAACCTTTTCGTGTTGCAAAACGCATGAAGGAGCTTCAAAGATCTTGTGAAGACTCTCAAAAAGGAATGAGGCTTAAATTGCCAGAACGACCTACCAGTGAGAGCCCAGAACTTGATGATGCTTTTAAATGGGGAGTCAGAGAAGATGAACCAAAGCTTCGGTTCTACCAAGATCGATGGCCTTCTTTCGTTCCACGAAATCCATGGTTAGATTCCGAAATTCAATACTTCATTTCCGGGAAGACCGTGTATCAAATATACACATTCAGCTCTGTTGAAGGGATTGAGAATGATTTTCCCAAAAAATTTCCGCCATTGATAATCAGTGCCAATTTATTCCTCCGACATCTTGATTTTGTAACAAAAGAGAAGTCGGGGACCACTTGGAACGGTCATTCTCTTGATCAACGCAATGCAGAGCGTCACTATGCCCATAGTACAACTGCCGACGCAAAAACCATTTTTGTTAAGCACAGAGACTGCGAAACCGGACGAGGCAAAAATGATGCCATTTTATTTATATCGCCATATATAGACGACCGCTCTCAATCAGTTGGCCCCATTGAACACAGTCCCGACTATCAAATACATCCAGACGACAAAGCACTGGCGGACTTGGTCAATAATAAGCGAGTGAAAATTACATTGGCTTATACTCTGGAGTTGGTTTCTCCAACTGATGATATCAGTAACTCGCTCTCTGAGGGTGCTCTGCCACCCTTGCAACCCAAAGACTATACATATGAGCCGCCGGTTTTCGCCAGTGATCCGCATCTCAATTTTACGTTAAGAAGGAATTTAGAACATATCCTATCCGTTTGCAGCATCCCCATACGCGCGCGCGATGAATCCAAGGCTGAGATTATACCAATCGCTTTGACATGTGGAGATATATCTGGTCATAGAGTCACCAAGGAAGCAAGCTTGTAAGTATACGCGCGCCTTTCACTACAGATATTCCTTAAACTGACAGAATAAAGCTACGCGTTTCAATATCTGCTCAAAGCTTTTGAACATTTTGATAACTCTGACCTCAAAGATATCGGAGGACGGCGCCTGGACAGCCATCCATTGGAATTGGGGCATGAAATTTGCGAAAATCCCAATTGTCAAATGAGGTTTCGCATTTGGAAGACATGCCTAGGGCACTTGGCCTGGATATACAATCACATGAACAAGGGGTATACGATGGACAACATGACTGGAGACGGAACTACCGGGGAAGCCAAGGCGAAGAAGGGCTTGGTTAGCCCTCACTACTGGGCCAGCGGTCAAGTAATAGACTGGAAAAAATATCCCTGGAAATTTTTTGATAAAGAAATTACTGATGCGCCTATGCAAATTATCAAATTTGGGGAATTTTGTCGGATAACTGGAAGTGATGATATACTTCGAGAAATTCCCGGTGGTCTTCGGAATATCGCCAAGCACTGGGTCAAAAGTCTTCATGAGCGAAACAAGGGCGGCTCATATGCATTCCCACGCATTAAAGAAGAAGAGACGGGGAAATTCTATCTCGCCGATCATGCCCTCATCTGGTGGGCTTCAAAGTCGCTGGAAGAGCTCGGTCTTGACTCGGAACTTGAAGTTGCATCTGGCCAGCGCATGGTGAAATATTCGTCCGACGAGATTAAAACCAACTTTATCAAGAGATTTACAATGGAAAATCCTGCCTTGAAAACGCGCATGATTGCAATCTCACGCAGCTCCGCCGAGACTAGATTCTCTCTTCTAATGAGAGAGACTGTCCTTTTTTATGCCATGGATCTCGGCTTGTTCGACGTTGAGGCAAACGAAGGAAGCAACTCCACAGATTCGCTTACGGGGAGCTCCAGCTTTTATGCCAACACCAACAATGCGAACGGAACGTCGAATGAGACAAACGAAACTTTGGTTGACAGTTGGGAAAATGTAATTGAGGAGTGGACAAATACAGTGGATTACCAAACACAGTTGGAGGATCAGAACGATGCTCATTGGAATCATCCACTTCAGTTTGCTCTTTCAATAATCATGTCTGCCAATCACAAAAGCACGAATTCAAGGCTTGCAGCCTGGATGTTTAAGCATTCCAGGTCAATTCTTCTTACCAGCTCCTCTCCCAATGGGCTTTTCCCAGGACAACTGGACGTATATAAGAGACCCGTTCTCTTTGACAGGGAACCATTGCGTGACGGTTATTGGCAGGCCACTTTCGAAGTGCCATTCATTCTTTGGAAATATCTCATTCCTCCACCATCAGTCAAAGGATCGTCTTTTAGCCTATCTGGTTCAGTCTCTTCTGATGCCAGAGGATTGGAGAATATCATGAAACTCCTGCCTGGCATGAATAGTAGCGGGATACCAAACAATGTGATCGACCAGGGGAAAGTGGTAACACTTTCAGATGAATGGCTTTACAATGAACTCGATTGCTTTAGGAAGAAAATCGACTTGTCGAAAGAAAATATGACGAAACTTTCAAGGAAGTACATAAAAAATACCCGTATGGCCGATATGATCGTCATAAGAAGGGTGGCTCAAAAGATTCAAGACGCAGTCGCTCAAAACACAACTGCTGATAACACAGCACCTCAAGGCACGACACTTCAAGGCACGACACTTCAAGGCACCCAAGAGGACATCTTGGGGTATATTATAGATGTACCGCGAAAATCGGACAAAAGGCAAGACACGCCTAAACGAGTCGAAATCAAATCGGCTCAGTCCCTCAATAAAACTATTTCTCGCAAGCGCACGACGAAGAATGCAAAAAAAAGACTTCTTCACTTTCACCGGGCAACTGATAAAACAGCCCTAATTTGTTATATTTCCGCGATTGAACACCCAGACATCTCTGCTTTCTTCGATAAGCACATGACATATGACAAACACTTTCACGAAGAAACAAACGCAGTGCTTAATCTATGGGTTACTGAACTTCATTTATCATTTTATCAGACTATTTCCCAGGAGATTTCTCCTGATATGGCCTGCATCCCTAGGTTCGAGTGTTACAGCTTCCCACGACGTAAAAATGAGGAAGCGGGTAATCGCAAACTGATAAGCAGAGCTGTGATGAGTTTTAGATTTGACGGGGACTTTTTCGATCGTCACTGGACCTGCCACTTTTTCGAGTTCAACCCATACCGGATACATGGCAATGAAATAGCCGACGTAACAAAAGAAAAGATTACAGGGTCTTTGAAAGCAAACCCTTGGAAGCAGAGACGGGTTTTGGAGCTCGTCTTGTTCGGTAAAATACTACAAGAAATGGTCACATGCTCACAGGACCTTTTGGATGAGATTAAAACACGGATTCTCGAGAGCTTCAAGAAAAGACCCAAGAAAGAAGCCAAGAACTCCAGGCTATCGTCAACATTCCTGGATTCAATTGATTTGTTTGACGATATCACGAGCAACGTATTTATATCAAACAACAAGGCATGGAACATATTTCAATATATACTGCAAGTGGTGGAAGAAGATCTTTGCGATAATTTAACTAAAATTGAGCTTTGGACGAAACGAGAAGAGCGGCCAGAGCACAATAAGCCCCGATGGACACTCAACGACGAACGAAATTACCGGGGTGCCATATATAGGCTACAGAAGTCAAACGACCTTCTAGTGCAACAGCTCAGACTATGTTATACCAGAGCTAGATCTTTCAATGCCTCACTAACGAAGAGACTGGACTCTACGCGCGGCGAATGGGAAGTTGGGAGTAATGATGACATCCGCCTTTTCACATATGTGACGGTCGTTTTTCTCCCCATCAGCTTTGCTACAGGCGTCTTTAGCATGAGTAGCGCTCCGACAAAGGAGACACTTAATAGCATGATTACAACCGCTGGCCTTGCACTCTTAGTTACTGCTATGACATTGCTGAACGCCAAGGTTTTGGACAGGAAGATTGTCAAGCCTTTCCTTGCCAAATTTCGCCCAATATCTGAGGCAACAACGCAGCTGGTTTTGCGCAGTCCTCTTTATGTATTTGGACTGTTATACCGTTTAGCCCACCTATCTTTGATTTCTCTTGTCTCATTTTTGCCCGAAAAATGGATTTATTTGCTGCATCGCTATTTGATCTCGCCGACAGAAGAATCATCGTCTACGCCATACAACGTCGCATACCAAACCAAGTCTTTTCTCGATAAAGGAATTGAAGAAAAGGTTCAGAAGATTACAGAGAAGATAGCTGGAGGAAAACTGGCGGAAGAAATAAAACCGGCACAAAGAAAAGAGGCGGACCAGATGAAATTGGCGCAAAGAAAACAGGCAGAAGAAATGAAGCTGGCGCAAAAAAGAGAGGCAGTGGAGATGAAAGTTGCGCAAAAGAAACAGACAGAAGAATTGAAACTGGCTCAAAAAAGAGAGGCCGAGGAAATGAAATCGGTGCAAAGACAACAGGCGCAAGAAGGAAGAAGAAGGAAGAGGAGATGGTATGAGGGGGTTGGTTCAGTCCCTCCAGAGAGCAGCATGGCTTAGGTGGCAGAGAGTTGGCCTACACTTGAAAGTTCAAACGGTGAACATATAAGTGTGCAATAAAAAGTGTCTTATCTGGGAGTCATAATGTATATTACATTCTGCGTTGGAACTGTAATATTGTCTTCTGGAAGGTATACCAGCTGGGCCAAGATATCCACAGTGAAATTCAGCGTTGAAATTACTCGATATTTGTGCATATGAGTTAACAGTTGAGTCGCCATTAACAAATGTTAACCTCGTGATGGCTAATTGCAATATTAATTAGACGAATTTCTCGGTAACAGCCGTCATGCTTCGGAAAGTTCTGACATAACGAACAAATAGAAAGCTTAGAATGTCTGATGGTGTCATGAACCAGGGTTGCAAATACGTGGCATGCGGGGTCTAATCGTAAAAAATACATTGGCCAAGCCGTAGCCGCAGCAAGGCTTCTGGTGGAATTATGACGGCTTGAGGAGTTATAGCCGGGATCACTTATCAAAAGACAGGGGTTGTTGGTTGTCCAGCTGTCAGCCGCATGCTGCCCGATGCTCAACAGGGAACAGGTCATGCAGTTTGTAGCTTGGGCTTGTTTGGGTAAAAAGGTATAGAAGTATGTCGCGGTTGATATCTGTCATATAACTGCTCCGTATCCAAATTCCCATTCCAAAATTTGGCAACGTGAAAAGTACAGCCATCTCCTCCCGCAGTATGAAGAAAAAAACCTCAGCATGTCCGCATGAGTATCTACGCTCTCACGTCACGGAACAACATCAAATCATTACCAAAAGGCTTTCTGATTTGCAGCCATCTGAGTCCATGTTGACCGCTTTCCCTCAGTGCCACAGTTGATCCGTCCGCCTCCTTGCCTCCGGCCTCCCTGCAGCTCCAGGAAGAAGAGGTAGAGCTGTGCTCTCAGATACCATTGCCACCTAGGACAATCAACATTGTCTTTTTTCTTTCAGCACTAAAAGAAGTTACCTCCCATGGCCATCACTGGTATGTACTTGTTCTCCGATGATACCGCAACAAACTGACAAAGCCACATACAGAAGAAGAAGAACTTCCGAGCGCTACATCGATCCCCAATAATGCTCGCAGAAATGCTCGTCTACGGACAACTTACAGTTCTTTCGGTGAAGATGGCACCACGGCAACCGCAAATGCTTACGGACACTTGCTTCAAATTACTCAATATTTCGGCAACAAGCCATCTGGATTTGTCGCTGTCAACCTTGACGAAACAGAAGAGCCGCATTTTGTCAAATGGCGCGCACAGGACCTGCAACAGCAATCCATAGATCCAACCCAAGGAATGCGCCTTTTATTGCAGAGGCCTGCCGATGATACATCTGCCATCGACATATGGGACACGAATCCCAAAACGATGTCGGTGCCAGCGAATGTCTCACCCTCACCGCTGGTGATAGCGCCACCACGAGCGAAAGCATCACGACCAGAAAAACCAGCACCAAAGAAGAGTCGATATGATGTGCCAGTACCTCGGCCCCAGTGGGTAAATCAGTCAGAGGCTGGGTCAGGATCAACGGTAAGATTTGTGCATAACCGTTGGCCGCGTTTCTCTACGAAGACACCCGTATTCGATATAGACATCCAATATGTCATATCCAACCAGACTGTCTATCAAACGTACACATTCAACCTCCACCAGGGATCGCAGATCTTCTCCTCGGAGATTCCGACAATCGTCATAGATACCAACTTATTGCTCCGAGATTTAGATTTTATGGTAGGTGAAGAGATGAAAGAATACGGTCCAGAGCCGAATTACTCTAGTCGCATTACAAACGACGGCTACAGTGTAGCTAGGATGCATAGCGACTATCTCTATAATAGGCAAAGCGATGGCCGAAACGCAAACAAGAATGACCGAGACATAGTCGCTCTGTTCATATCGCCCTTCATTAATGAGCAGCCTCAGCAGTTTTCGCAACCCGCCCCTGAAGATCTCGACAATTACTTTGTGACTCCAAATAAGCAAGCTTGGAATGACTTGATAGAAAACGGGACACTCGAAATTACACTAGCATATACATTGAAGTTGATCACTTCAAAGGAAGAAGACATCGCGACGTCTCCAGTGTCAGCAGCAGATCTCAAGAAAGCAAAAGAGCAGATCAACAGACATTCTCCAGGCATGGTACCGATCACCATTGACAAACCCCTTGATTTTGCTTTGAGCCGAAACTTGGAGCACATATTGTCTGTCTGTAGCATCCCCGTCAGGAAAGTTTCAGATGAGATTTATGCAATTGCTCTTACTTGTGGTGATATTTCTGGTCATCGGGTTTCTGGGAAAGCAAGTTTGTAAGTTGACATTGAGATATTATTACGTTTCTTGAGGCTAATTTATGCAGCTATGCTTTTCAATTCTTGCTTTTAGCTTACCAGTATTTCGATTCCAAGGTTCAAACAAGCGGCTCATGTCAATTGGGAAAATGCACATGTGAGGACTATTGTTGCAATATGCGCTCACGCATCTTTCGAGTGTGTCAGGGACATCTGGAATGGCTCTTTGGTGAAGATCATATTTTCAGTCCTCACAGGTGGGCTACCGGGAGAGCAATCGCCGGATGGAAAGGCAATCCTACTTTGTCCGAAAAGTCTGTGGTTGACGCCTCCCTCAACATCATCAAAGCCGCGGATTTTTACCGGATAACGAAAGCAGCACCGGATACCATTGACGACTTCAGAGGTGACGTTAACGACTGGATTGAAGATCTTCATCGGAACAACCAGGACAATGAACATGTATTCCCACATTCGTCGGAAGAGCTGCCGCTACAGTTCCAATTGTCTGACCATGCTATAATCTGGCGCGCTCTCAAGTCTTTGGAGTTGATCGGGCTCAGTTCAGAGCTCCGAGCTAATACCATACCTGGGCGCCGCAAAACCAGTTACTCGTCTCGGAAGATCCAGGACAGCATATTCAAGAAGTTCACCACCGATTGCGCGCAATTGAGTGAGCGTTTAATGGCGACTTCACGCAGCTTATCCGAGACCAGTTTTCTCCTTCACACGGAGGACACTGCGACACTATCAGCGATGAAAATGGGTTTATTCGATCTTCCAAAAAGAGAAGAGTTAGTCCGGAGAATGACTATGGAGTCGATCGATGAGCCAGGTAACGCGGCTCCAGAAATGCCAGTTCGCGCATTAACTAGCAAATCAGATAATGACTTGACGGATCCCTGGAGAAATAAACACGAGTCCTGGATGGCTACAATAGATAGTCAAAAGCTGCATGAGGATAACGACGACGATAATTGGGATCACCCTCTCCAGTATGCCTTGGCCATGGTCTTATCTGCGAAAGGTATTCATATCAATTCTCAATCGCCTGCACAAATGTACACGTTTGCACGATCGATACTGCTGCAAAGCTCCTCTCCAAATGGACTGTTCCCCGGACTGTTGGACGAGAATAAGGACCCGGCTCTTTTCGAAGACGACGATACCTATTGGCACGCTTCTTTTGAAGTACCGTTTATTCTCTGGGAAACAAAAAAGTCTTCACCGAGAACTGAAGAGAATAGCTCTGATGAAACTTCCAGCACATTTCTACTACGACGGAACTCAGCTGAGGCCTCTATTTCTGGCGCAGGCTTTGTAAAGAGATATGAACCGTTTACCGAAACCTCTGATTTGGGGCCCAACTACGAATGGCTTTACAAGAAGCCGGAATTCTTTGGGTTTCGTATTGATCTATCATCAAAGGCCATTGAGAAGTTTTGCAAAGCTCATGTACAGAATGATGATAAAAGCTCTGAGACCATCAATAGAGCAGTTGCAGCAGTTCAATCTCCAAAACAAGATGTTCTACAGGACTATGGATACATTATCGACATATCAGGGGTTGAATATAACAAGATACTCGGCCAAAGAGACTTTCCTTTCAGAATCTTTTCGACGGACAAGATTCGATCTTTCATTGGAGGAGTTCGCGACACAACGAATGCGAAGAAGAGGTTTTTCCATTTTTACCGTGCCAACCTGGATGTCGCATTGAACTGCTACCTGGCGTCTTCAGAAGAAGAAGAAATATCTTCCTTTTTCGACAAGCATTCGTCATACAGTAAATATTTCTTCGAGGATACGACTGCTATTTTCAACAAGTGGGTAACAGAACTGCATTTGTCGTTTTACCAGGTCGTTACAGATGATGTCGCGTCCCAGGCCATCCCTTGGACAGAGACGTTCAAGTTTCCTGATTCGACGGGAAGTGAGAGCGACAAGCGAGTTGGCCGTGCTGTCATGAGCTTCAGATTCGATGGGGATGTTTTTGACCATTATTGGACATGCCACTTTTTTGATCATAATCCACAATGGTTGTCCAACTCTCAAGACGGCCGTCCGCTAATTAGCACGAGGCCGGTGAGCGGTACTTTAGAAAACGACCCCTGGCAGCAACGGAGAGTATTGGAACTTCTGTTATTCGATACGATCCTTCAAGAAATGATCAAAGGCACCAAAGGAATTCTCGAAGAGATCATGACGAGTGTTTTGAAAAGCTCCCACTCCCACAATAGAGCTAAAAATCAACCAACAGTCGATTTCTCCGAAATCGACGCATCAACTCTTTTGAATGCGCTTGAAGTGCTCTCTAAAGTCGACAGCAACACTTTCGCTTCAAAAAATGAACTATGGAACAAATTCCAACGAATTCTTCAAGTCATCGAAGACGACCTCAAAGAGAGTCTAACAATGATTGCACTCTGGACAGATCGAGAGGAAAAAAGAAACATAATCCAAGCAGGGTGGACTCCTCGTAAGGAGCAAAAATATCAAGGGGCAATATCCAGATTGAAGCTGCTTAATAGCCATAAAATCCACGAGCTGAGAAGATGCGGTGCCAATGTAGCGTCGTTCAACATGTTACTTACCAGGAGATTGGAGGTAATGCGCAACGACTTGGACACCAAAAGCAACGTCGATATCCGACTCTTTACATATGTAACAGTCGTCTTCCTTCCCGTCAGCTTTGCTACTGGAGTGTTCAGTATGAGCGGTGCGCCAACAAGGGAGCTGTTGGGTAGCATGGCTTCGACAGCGTGTGTCGCTCTTTTAATAACCGTGATAGCGTTACTCAACGCAAAAGTCTTGGGTGCAGAACTCTTCGGACCCATCTTTAATGGTATTCGACCGCTGTCGGAGGCAGCACTTCGTCCAATATTCCGCTTTTGCACTGGATTGATCTATCTGGTCTTACTCTCCATTATATCGATTTTACCCAACAAATGGATTTATTTCCTTCAAAAAAGAATTGAAAAGGCTGAATCTGAGCAGTCAAGCCTACAGACTAGTGCGAATGAAGGCTTCATCGATCGCAAAGTGAAGCAAATTCGAAACAAAGTAAAGGAAATTGAAAAGGAAATCGGGGAAGAGGAAAGAAGAAGGAGAAAAAAACAGAAAGAAGAGAAAGTGAAAAGGAAAGAAGAAGAAGAAGAAGAAGAAGAAGAAGAAGAAGAACGGAGGAGAGAAGAGGGGGAAGGAGAAATAAGGGAAAGAGAGGGAAAGGAAAGAAAGTCAAGGGAAAAGGACGATGGGGTGGTGGAGAGGCAAGAAGAGGTAACGAGTTTAGGTCAAACAGATAAAGATCCGGCGGCAGCAAGAGGGCGGACCGGAGATTCTAGCGACGATACAGCCGCATTGTCTAACATGGGTGTCGATGAAAGAGCCCCAAGGAATGTTTTCCAGCGGATACGGCATCAGTTTGGGGGCGGAAGGTCGAGAATTAATAGGTCGGATGTATAGCTCAAATGCTTTACGCGAAGAAAACTTTGGGCGCAATTGTTGGTAGCTCACTCTCTTAGCATTACGTTATCTGGGGAGGGGATCGAAAGGTATTGCAATACAAAAATAACTTCATGTCCGTCACATCGATTTGTTTGAGCAATCTCAGACGCGAAGGAAACTCTCTGGACTCATGGCCAGTGAGTGAGGCTGTTAAGACTATCGCTCAGCGATACAGATACCTGGCTTCAACGCATTTCATAGGACTGTGTGACATGGAAAGTCAACGCCATCATAGGCATTGTTGCCTAATGGCCAACTTGCGGGTATACGCATAAAAGTTGCCATCCAAAACATGCCGTGCATATAGGCTCATAATTGAGTCTTTGTTGGTTGTTGAAGGAAGGCCTCAGCGGCAAATTGCTGCCAATTTCGACGCATATTGTATAAGTTCTGTCCATTATTAGCTCACTACGCAGCCATCCGTATTTCGTTGCGATACTGTGATTCTGCAACAACCCGAAACATACCGGCCAACACAATGGCACATAATTACTGAAAGGGAGGTGACGAAGCCCCTCTTGCTAGAATGCGCCGAAGTGTATCAGGGGCTGCATTCAAGCACCCGCACTATACAACACAAGTTGAATCATCCAACAGGTTTATAGACCTGGCATTGTATACACTATCCACAGCGAATCTGACTTCTGCTTCGCTAAATACGTATAGGTGGTAATGGACCAATACGCCACTTTATCAGTCAACTGGTGAGGTATATAGCTCACGGCGTTTATCCAGCTGTAAACTTCATTGCGACTGAGCCCTCTTGCTTTTTGGTGATAGAGACGAACATATTGAATTAATCTTCAAGAGACAGCCTATCGTGATTGTTTCTATCAGTATCCGTGTGAATATTGTTGGTTAGTGTATGAATGGATGGGTAACATCTCTTCAGAGCGCTTCTGAATCTATTGGATGGGAAGGATTCCGTTTGTAACATGTATCAGGTAAACAAGGGGGCTGGTCTAAAGAAATTCCTAGGAGGGAGCATGAACAGGAGATATGTGTACAGTTGGTTCGGGTTCAAATGGCGGAGAAATTAATGTACCACCAACAGCCTCACCCAACATACTTGACTCTGGTTGTGCCAAGCCCTCTTCGCCAAATTGAGCCTATCATTACAAAAAAAATTATATTACTGATTCGAAATGGACTCGTATGCATGCAAGGCGTCCAATGATATACGACCAAGCGTGAGCTTATTTTCGCCATGTATTTTTGACGAAAAGAAAAAAGCCGTTATCATCGGTTAGCTACATACAACGTCCCAATATACCAACTGTGTGCTTGTCCACACCTTGTAATACTTCGCTTTGTGGTGAACATATGTGTGGTTACTCTTCATAAGACTTAATGAGGATATCATCTTTGTAGCAATCCCCCCTGAGATAAGTCGTTCCCAGGCAGTATTTAAGTATAATCATGGCTCCAGGACTTTGTTCGTAGAGATACAAGTCTTTTTGAGTTTATTCGAATCCTCTTTCAAGAAAGATCTTTTACTCTCTTTACCGTCTGGCTTTCCAACGATATTCCAGAGCAAGCACCACGAGTGTCTACTCATTTAACGAGAAGAAGACTGCCTACAATGTCGACGCCTTCGAGTTCAGGTACGTTCTACGCGTTGGCTTTTTTTCCCGACATCATCGGCTAATAGACCATGTTTATAGACCAGAAATCCACGGCAGTCTCTGACAGCAAAAACGAGCAAATTACTGGTTGCTCGACCTACGCCTCCTTCGGGGATAAATGTGTCACCGCTACAACGAATTCTCATGGCCACTTGCTTCAAATTACGCGCTACTTGAACAATGAACCATCCGCATTTTGCTGTGTCGACCTCACTGGCATCCTGACATCACATCGGTTTACTCATCGTATGCAGAAGCTACAAAACTGCTGTACAGACCCCAACAGCGGAGTGGGAGTTCGAATCGAACATTCTACAAATGTCGATGTTCACACTGAGAAGACAAGTGAAGCAGTGCCAAAACTAGATTTCGTACATGATCGCTGGCCACACTTCGTTACAACAACACCAGAATTTCATCTTGAGACTCAATACTTTGTCTCCGAGAAGACGGTGTATCAGATATATACCCTCAAGCTCCGCCAAGAAGTCAGTATTGCGGAAACTACAAATATCAAATTGTTCCTTCGAAACCTTAGCCTCAAGGTAAACAACGATGAGAAGAATTCCAATTCGAACAATAACGATACTCAGGACTCTCACTACGAAGAGTATTCCAATCATCTATCACCTGAAAAAAACTACATCAGGAGAACCCGCAAAATTCGCAACACGGTGCCCGGTAATCAGAATGTTGTTGCTTTATTTATAACACCATTCATTAACAAGAGCCCTCAAAAATTTCATGTGGAGCCTAAATCTGGGGATTGCCACATCATTCTAGAAAACAGCGTCTTGAAAGATTTGAGGAATGGCAAAAAGGTGAAGGTTACCCTGGCATATCAACTGGAATTGATATCTTCAGGAGCAACAGAGCCCAAACATTCTGTTTCCTCTGAATCTCTTTCCAGAATTCAGACTGTGCTGAAAGAGCCTTCTAAAATACCAGCATTGACCCAGGATGATCGTTTCAATGTTAATTTGAGACGGAATTTGGAGCATATCTTATCCGTTTGCAGTATTCCTGTCAGCTCTGATGCAGATGAAAAGAACCCTTCTATTGCCCTAACATGTGGAGATATCTCAGGGCATAGAATCTCAACAGAAGCAAGCTTGTAAGTGATATGCTCAAGAATTTTGTTCTTGATTTTGCCATAACTAACATGACCAGTCACGCCTTTCAATTCCTTCTTCTGACACTTGAGGATATAAACAATAAATCCCGATGTGTATACCAGTCTGAAAATGACTCGATAGAAGACAGTTACATGACCAAGATGAGATCTCGTATTCTTGAAGTATGTCAAGGACATTTAAAATGGCTTATTCGTGAGAACGCGAAATCAAATTCCGTCGTCTCGAGTCTCAACAACGCAGGCAGCGACGGTCCAATAGTCGACGATGATAGCAATCCCAGCTTGCTCGAGCAATCACTCATTAGTACATCTTTTCAAATCATCAAAGCAGCAGAATTCTGTCGAATAGCCATGTCGGACGTTTCGAAAGAAAAAAAACTCGAATTTGCGAATGAGTTCCGCACCATTGTCAAAAATTGGACTGCAGCCCTTGATGGAGAAAATAAAGGGAGCCACTTTGTGTTTCCAAATCTGAGAGAAGAGAGAGAGCAACGGGTATTCCATCTCTCCGACCAGGCCATAATTTGGTGGGCTGCTAAATCGGCAGAAGAACTCGGACTCGACTCAGAACTTCAAGTCAACGAATCTTCTGGCACATATTCACGTCGAAATAGAGCAATCTACTCATCTAAGGAGATCCGGGCAAACCTTTTGAAAAGGTTCACAATTGGGAACTCAACATTTGAGAAGAGTATGATTGCAATGTCCAGAAGCTCAAATGAGACGAGATTTCAACTTCAGGCCAAAGACACTGTTCTGTTTTATGCCATGGATCTTGGGTTATTTGATCAGGACGATTCGGCGGAGAGTACATCCTGCATCTGGCAAAACAAAATCGAAGCTTGGAGATGTGTTGTGGATTACCAGAAAGAATGTGAGCATGATCGAATTGCACATTGGGATTGGGAACAGCCACTCCGTTGTGCATTAGCGTTGATTATGGCGTCGAAAAACAAACAAATGACTTTACAGGCGATCCCGCAAGTACAGCAAGAAGCGAGAAATGCATTACTTCGAAGCTCTTCAGCTAATGGACTATTCTCCAGTCATCTCGATGAGAATGAAAGGTCTGCCATGGATGATGGCGAAGCTATGAGTGATATCTTTTGGTCTACAACATTTGAAGTGCCCTATGTCATATTAAGGTATACGGTGACCCGATCGCCGAGCGAACTCCCGAGATTGAGCATCACTGCGACTACTCCGTCTCTGCAAGGCTCCAGCGTTTCGCCCTCCATATTATCCACAGAGTCAACAACATCTGACCCCGTTCGAGAATTGAGCAGAAATACAACGCCGCCAATGCCTCCTATTGAGATTCTTAGCAGCTGCGAGAGCCCGCTGATGAAGCATGGGGTATTATTCACCAATATCATCGACTTGGGGAAAATTGTGGAAATACCTGATGAGTGGCTGTATAACGAACCAAGATTCTTTAATTTTCACGCCACTTTATCTGGATTCATCGTCGACGAGTTTTGTATAGGGGCTTCTAAAGAGCATGCCGATGAATCCTCGAAATTCTCTTTAATAGCAAACGTCAAACGCCTTTCGAACAAAGAGAGAAGTGATAAACACTCATCAGACATTCACAAAAATGCCATTATCGGAAATCATACTGGCATTTGTGCTATGAAAGTAATGCATGGAGCAGCTATATTAGACTATCGGACGCGCGAAAGCGACCCGATGGGCTATGTCATTGACGTACCCAGGACTGCGCGCCATAAGAAGAAGAAAGAATATGATTCAGTCGAAATATCATCAAGCCTCTCTTTGATCGAACACCTAAACACCAGGCGCACACCAACCCTCGCAAAGAAGAGGATTTTCCACTTTTCTCGAACCAGCTGGAATATCGCCCTGATATGTTACCTTGCGTCTTCAGAGCCAAGGGAAATTTCATGCTTTTTCGATAGACACGCATCATTAAGCCCGTATTTCTTTGAAGATACGATAGGGACACTTAATAAATGGGTGACCGAGCTACATTTGCCCTTTTATCAGATCCTTTCTCCTACAAACTCTTCCCAATTTATCAAAAGCGTCCTTGAACCCCGAAATAAAAGAACTATTCCTGTATCAAAAATGATCCATCTTCCATATTCAGACTCGAAAAACCCCAAGGGAGCCAAGATTCTGAGCCGAGCTGTTATTAGCTTCAGATTTGATGGAGATCTTCTTGACCGCTATTGGACATGCCACCTGATTGAATATAGGCCACAACAGAGGGATGATCCAAAAGAAATGTCTTTTCATATTCCTACACAGCCTATTAGCGGAGCTCTGAAGTCTAATCCCTGGAGACAGCGCCGAGTTCTGGAACTTCTCTTGTTTGACAGGAGCCTACGAGAGATATTGAGGTGTACGGAAGAAATCCTCAATGAAGCAAAGAGCACATTGAGAGCTGCTAAAGACATCAGAAACTATGGATGCAGCTATGAGGATGAAGAATGCAAGGCAGAGTTCTCGGATAATCACAATCGAAGGGTGAAAGCGAGTAGGGACGTTTTCCGTTCTAACGATTCGCTATATAAAATGCAGGAAGTGCTCCAGGAGGTGGAGGATGACTTGAGTGAAAACTTGGCAAAGATGCAGCTGTGGAAAAACCGACAAAACGGACGTGGTCCTGAGAGGCCAAGATGGACGCTGAAAGATGAATATCGCTACGGCGGCGCCATATCAAGACTTCAAGCATCAAATAACTTCTACATGGAAGAACTCGTCCGCTGCCGAGCCAAGATCCTGGCTTTTAATTCGCAACTTACAAGGGAAATTGACGCCTCCCGCAGCGATTGGGAGATGCGCACCACCAATAACGTGAGATTGTTCACGTATGTTACAGTTGTGTTTCTTCCAACCAGCTTCGCCACCGGCGTGTTCAGCATGAGCGGAGTTCCTACAATGCCTGTGATACGTCTCGTTGTGATTACCGCAGTTATTGCACTATTTCTGACCATTCTTACTTTGATCAACGCCAAGAATTTGGAAAGAATGCTGCGGTATGTTCGAGATGGGATATACCAATTCCGACATGGGTTAATACATTGTTGCTACGGATTCAAGCAATCCATTAGTGATGCGGGAAAGTTAACGCGTGAAATAACCTTGGAGTCTGGGCTTTCCATCGTCAACTTTTTCCTCCGCTGGTTGCATAGGACGTACGAATGGGCAAATGAATATTCTGCTTCTGCACAGGAAACAAGGCCAACATCTGTGCGATATTTACTGATTTCTATCCTTCAAGTCGCGCTCTCCTATATCATCTACCGTCTCGCATTCAAAATATATATGCCGCTTAGAGCATTGACAAAAGCAATATTGTCAGATGCAAAAGTATACGATCCTGTCGGCGACATGAGCTTCAACGACGACCACCCAATTCAGCAGGCTCGTTTTAACTATCACAAACTATCCGATACTGCTTCAGGGGCGGACAGTGACCCTTTGAAGGAAGATTTAGAAGAGTTATTCGATGACTTAGGTCAAAGGGCTACTGACCTATTCAAGAGTTGGCAAGAGAGATTAAAACCAAAGCTGGACGATGCCAAGTCTCGAGAGGTGGGAAATGAAACGAATTTGTCGCACGTCTGTGAGACGAGTACAGGTACCGAGAAAGGCGGTTTCAGGGCGAAATGGTCGTTGGTGCGAAGTAAAATGGACGATATTTGGGACTATTTATATTACAAACTCGCCTAATTACGTTTATTATAGATTTTGAGCTCTATATAAACCCTACATAGATGCTGTCTCAATAGCCTCGCCAACGTCATTCCGTCTTCTTCCATAGCAAACAACACTAGCAGCACGCAACTCTCTCATTTATACAAACACTTCCTCGTATTTAAGCAGCAGTCTGTGTACATTTAGCAGTCACCGTCCGATAAAGCGTCCCGCAGCCCCTCTGACAAGTCGGACATGGCGCCAACACCGTCGGCGTGGCAGCCGGGCAATCACAAGGCTTCGTAACGATCTTGAGCAGCTCGCAATTGGGGCGAGGGCCACAGTGCTTAAGATCGATGAGAGGGCATGTTGCTGGGATAGTAACTACCGGACAGCCTTCTGGGTAATCGATGGGTACACTCAACAGGCCCATGCAGCTTCGTCAAGAGGTTAAGAGGAGTCACGGGAGATAATTTGGATGGGTTTGCTTACAGGCCTGCTTGTAGCAATGTTACTACCGTAGTTTGCACAAATGTCTTCATGATGGCAAAGTAGAAAGAGGCTGAGAGTGTATGACTGGCTATGAACAGTATATTGAGAAAAGAATTAATCGTGGGAAATGTTCCCCTTAAATAGACGTAGAGATACCCTTCTCATGTCCCAAACTATCCATTCAAAGGGAGGCCATAAGTCATGCCGAATTATCCGGCAGCCCTTCCTCTCCTCCAGGCCAGCCGCTGCGTAGCAACCCGACGTGAAACTGTCTCAGTTCTATTCTAGTATAAGAAGCAGTGATTGGCTAGGTAGGGAATGCCACGCAGCGTGCCCACGTCTTATTAAGACCACAGCTGTTGGTGTCTCAGTTGATACCTCCAACAGTATCACCACTTGGCAAGACACAAAGGATCATCGACATCCTCCAGGATTTGTGTCTAGATCTCGCTTTTCTGACTGGCCGTGTTGCCTCGCTCTTGGTCACTCGATGCTCTCCAAGATATGCTGTGGCCCTTCTCAAGTGCTGTTTAAGAACGTTTATATCTATTTCCAGAGCCCATTACCGATGTATCTTATCCTAAATTTAGTATATAGATGCAAGTTACCAATTTGTTTGAGGCCAAAGTAACTACTGTATACCAACAGTATTGCTGTCCTTAGCAAGGACACACCCCTTATCCTCATCATGCATAACCCCAGGGTCAACTGGCACTTCTTATTCTGCTTTCACCACATGGGGACACCCAAAAGCCAAATAAATTCACTCTCTAGAACCTAGAATCCCAAACTAAATGAAATGCTTCGCTAATCTTCAAATCCATGATGCACTGCTTTTGCCGCTTGCGCGTACAGGCCGCTAGTATAGTATTAAAGTCATGCTACAAAATAGCTCTTGGGAGCGTTGAAAAGAAGCGCCGTAAATGCGTTATTAAATGGCAAAATAATCATGAGGGTATCGTGTGCGCTCATAGTTTGGAACGAACGACCTCGAGACGGTACTTTACGTCCTTGAGGGCTTTGTTAGTTGGCTTCCAGTCGTCAAATTGCCGCAGCAGCTCTTCAGTCTCAGCGCTGAGCTGTGTCTTGACGAAATCCTCTTCCAAAAGACCCCGCATGATCCATGGTAGGACGTATGGATTCGATGACGCTAAAGGTGTTGTCTCCCGCTTTGGGATCACACAGGGAGTTGGTTGTGCCGTGCTAGTCGTTTCCAGGGCGTGCACGATAGCGAGATCATATACAGCCGAGTCGAAATAGAGGCGTGAGTGGCCTTCGCCCGAGTATAGCGATCCAGCAAGGGCCACAGACAGTTCACGGATGAGGCCATGGTCCGATATTCCTAAATTTCGCAGTTTGAGTGCGAATCCGATAAGATGTGATATGAAATCCGGAGCATGTACTCGGCCGTCGATGAAAACGGCGCGGTAGATGTAAGGATGATTTGCAGGCGAGTATACGGCAGACTATAAAGCGTTAGCTATTTCTGTGCGATGGCTGGCAAGAATGATCTCATCCTACCTCCATGGGAACAAGCTGGTCGTCAATACTGCCCACGAACGTAATACGAGCTCCAAAATCAACAACACGCTTGAGACAAGCCTCAAATCGTTGCGAGTTATTGCTCTGAGGATCTCCAAACTCCCACAACTCAGCTGCTGAGCCCATGAGTATGCTCGACTTATAGTCGGGAAAGGGGCCCAGTGCCACGCCGGCCATGGCACAGACACCGATTCTAGTGTCTGTTAGGACACCAAGGTCAATCAACTTCTCTAGCAGCATGATGCTGACCGGCACTCCCTGAGAGTGACAAGCGATAACCACTAAATCGGCCTGGCGGATATGCTCAATCCAGTTGAGAAGAAGCGTCCACAGGTTCGCCACTCTATCGTTGATTCTGCCTTCCCCTTCGAGGGCAACCTTTTCGATCTCACAATCAGAACAGCCATGGTTTTCAGCCCATTTGCGAATGGCATCAGCACAAAGCCCTACAAATCGCAAAGATGTGCCCGTCGGTTGGCCAATCATGGGACGCAAATATGAAGCTGGGAAAAAGCCGTGAACTCCAATGGCGACGGCTTTGCGGATCTTCGGGGGGTCCTTGACTCGAAAAACGTGGTTTGGAGGCGGTTGCGAAGTCCGAAGCACCAGGTTTGTAATCTGTCGAAGGATCGAGGGGTTTTCTTTCATCTGATAGGTGCTAGAAAACGAAGGAAGGAGAACGTTTGGTGGTTCCTTTACAGTCGACTCGCTTTCAGCAGCTGGCTTCTTCGTTACGGACATGGGTTTCTTCTTCTTGGAATCTGTCCTAGCCAGTGGCTTCGAGGGAGGCAGCTCTTGTTCACTGCCAGGTTGTGAATGAGGAGTAGTAGAAAGCCGGTCGACGGGGGCTGACTTTGTACTGTCTGCTGACGGTGGCCGCACAGACTCGAGATCCATTGATATAGGTCTAATTCGCTTACTTCTGCGCCAAGACAAGACGCCTGCTGGCGGCTCTGGCGGTGTAGCGTCTTCTTTGGAATCTCTAGTCGCCGATTCAGAGATTCTTCTTTCTGCTATAGGTAATGGTTGGACCTCTGATCCCTCTCCCATGACAGCAATTTGTCCCGATTCTGATGAGGCAGTCTTCCCTTTGCTCTTCGGCGAGTCTCTTGACCAGAAGGCCCACGTAGAGCCTGCTTTAGGAGGAGGACTCTGAACGGCCTCTGGCTCAGGTTCTGGGGCGTCTTTGGCTGGCACATCTCCAGCTTTGCCCTTTGGATCTTCATTGACATCTATCTTGGATTTCTTGCTCGAAGCCCGTGATACTGTAACAGCCGAACCCTTCTTGCGTTCATCATTAGGGACAGTTGTCTCGCCTGGTGGTCCCGTGGGCTTTGTATCTGCTCCTTGTTTTGAGGACATTTGGGCTTTTGGGGCTGGCTGTTCTTTGGTTGGTTCTGGCTGTGGCTTTGGAGCTGCTTTTGCTTTGGGTTGAGGAGTTGAATACCAATAGCTAAACCAAGAGGATGCTTGTGGAGCTTCTGCGGCGTCCTCAGTTGGCGCAGGCTCAGAAGGAGGCGCTTCTTCCAAGGGCGGGGCTGCCTCGGCAGGCTCGATGGTTTCGGTTTCGGTAGGCTTCACAGCTTCTTCCTTTGTTTCCTCGGGGGCTGGAGTAGATTTTGCAGGGGGCTCAACTGGGACGGGCTTAGCCCACCAGCCGCCGAACCACCCAGCCGAAGGGGCCTGCTTCGGTGGAGCATCAGTTGCTGAACCATCTTTGTCGGCGGCAGCCTCTGGAAGTGGTTGCTGCTCTTGCGCCGTCGTAGGGTCCGAAGCTTTCTGCTGCTGCTCGGCAGACGGCTTCGTCTCGGGAGCTGAGGGCATCTCTGGTGCACGTCCTGTATCTGAAGGTTTTTTGTCTCCTAGACGTAGAGAGCCCACACTTTTATTCGCATCTGGTTTTGTGTCTGTATTGGAAGTATTGGAGGTATTGGAGGTATTGGTCGATATTGTAGGGGGTGGAAGAACTGGGTCGGCGTCGTCGGTTATGCTCGCGTCGTCTTCGCTTCGTTTTGCTTCAAATCGAGAAAAGTCGGGCGCATTCCTTGACTTGACGGTGCCTCCGAGGATATTTTCCCGAGCAACCGATGTCGAGGCCGTCGCCTTCTGGGGCTTCGACCACGAAGCGTACCAGCTGTTGGTCTTCCGAATCTATCGCCCAGTAAGAACCGGTTCGTCCAGGGGTTCGCACATCCCATATATGAAAAGGGGGGATTTTACCTCCTTCACCCTCTGTGACGCATCAGAAGACTTGCGTTCGCCGTTGGATTCGGATTGTGGAGGCTTTTTCTGGTCGCTAGCTTGCTGCGCCGAGGCAGATGACGCTCGTGACAGTGACGTCTCAGGCGACAGAGCTGTGGTTGGCAAGCTCAGCGAGCTCAGTAGAGTGGGATTGGGGCGTTGCCTCTTTCGAGGAGGCATCATGAACGCTGCGAGCGTGAAGGGCAGGCCATAGAAGAGATGGAGATGACGCGCAGTTCTAGGCGGCGATGATGAAAGGTTGAAGTAGGCAGACGGATTGTTGGAGGGTTTAGTTTGAGCTGTTGGTACCTCGGAGGCTACTTTATTCGGCGGATTCCGCAGGTACTCCCAACAGTTGATGACGATGCCTGGAGGCGCCACGACACGCGCCACCTGCAGTGAATGGAATTGGCTGTAGCGGCTTAACAGCAGCTCCAACAGTGGCTCCCCAGCACCTGTCAGCCGGGAACCTGCGCTAAACCTCCCAGCCGGCTGAGTTGTGGCTTGAATGGCGGGAGTGGATCCGGAACAATTCCCTGGCCCACACCGCCTGCCTTATCGCCGCGCTACTCTTATCGGTGTCCCGCCAGGGAAAAAAAAATCGAGAATCAAAGTTGAAGCTCCAGATTTTGTTTTGAAGCCAAAGTCGTCCATGTTAAAGGCTGTGTTTCTGCCTTTGCATCTTGCGGCTGTACCATCACCATGAGCACCCTCAAGAGGAAGGATGCCCCTGGCGGCAATCCTCCGTCCAAATCGGCCAAAAACTTCAAAGAAGCTCGGCCGTCGAAGAAAGAGGCACCGGCCAAAGATGCGAAGCCCGCGGCCAAGACGCATCGCAAGTCGGACGATGCGGCAGAAGAGCGCGCAAAGGCTCCAATTACCTCTGTCTTGAAGGATGACGAACCTGTGTTTCCTCGTGGAGGCGGCAGCGTCCTCACACCTCTCGAGCAGAAGAAGATTCAGATGGAAGCCAAGGCCGACGCCATTCGAGAAGAGGAATTCGAGACGGGAGCCAAGTCACAGAAGAAGAAGGCGAAAAGGTCGACTGTAAAGGGCGACAAGAAGACAGAGAAGAAAGCAGAGGAGGACACAATCAAGATTGAGAGTCTGAACTTCAAGGTACGGCTACTGCATGAACAATTGGTGATGACAACTTGTGCTAATGGAGGCTACAGAGACTGGTCAAGGGATCACTGGTGCTCGGACAGGTGACGCGAATCAGCAACCTCAGTCTTGAAGTGTCATTACCGAACAACCTCATCGGCCATGCCTCCATCGTCGCCATTTCAGCCCAATTGACAAACAGACTCCAAGGTGACGCTGAAAAGGAGGGCGAGAGCGATGAGGAGGAATCGTCCGACGAAAACGACGTCAACCTGAAAACCATGTTCAAGGTTGGACAGTATGTGAGGGCATATGTGGTCTCGACCATGGATGGTGCCGCTGGAGGAAAGGGAAAGAGAAAGATTGAGCTGTCTCTGCGACCCAGCGAAGCCAACACCGGCCTGGAAAAGGACGATGTTGTAGTCAACAGCACAGTCATGGCCTCCGTTGTCAGTGTCGAGGAACGCGGCTGCGTCATGGATCTCGGAATTCTAAACCTGAACGGTTTCCTCCCCAACAGCGAAATTGATTCTCTCATCGATCAGGAGAGGCTCCAGCCTGGTGCAGTCTTCCTCTGCCAAGTCACAGGCAAGAACTCCAACAAGATCGCCCAGCTTTCCTTGAAGCAAGACAAGTTGGGAAACACCAAAGCTTTCCCTGCCGATGCTACCACGATCAACACATATCTCCCCGGTACCATCGTCAGCGTCCTTGTTTCGGACAACGAAGGTAGAGGTTTAGCTGGAAAGATTATGGGAACTGTCGATGCTACTGCCGATCTGATCCACTCGGGCATTGGGCCAAACGACGTTGACCTCAAAGCCAAGTATAAGATTGGATCCAAGGTTAAAGCGAGAATTATTTGCAACTTCCCAACGGCCAAGGACCCGAAGCTGGGCATTTCCCTGCTACCTCACATCATGTCTCTGACACAGAAACATCAGGATGGCGACGAGAAGCGACCATTGGAAGTGATGCCTATCTCGTCTTTTGTTGAAAAGTGCACAGTCCGCCACGTCGAGCCCGATATTGGTCTCTTCGTCGATACTGGCATTGCTGGCCTGGGTGGATTCGTCCACATTTCGCGAGTCAAGGATGGAAAAGTCGACGCCCTCTACGAATCAAGCGGGCCCTTCAAGATGGGAACCGTCCACCGCGGCCGAGTTGTTGGTTATAACGAGATGGATGGTCTCTTTAGCATCTCATTTGCGAAAACCCTTCTTGAGCAGCAATACATCCGCCTCGAAGACATCCCCATCGGCTCTGTGATCAACGGCGAGATTGAGAAGCTGGTCATCAAGGAGCAAGGTGTTACAGGACTCATTATCAAGATTGCGGATGGCATCAGTGGATTTGTTTCCGAGACACACCTGTCCGATATCCGTCTTCAGCACCCCGAGAAGAAGTTCCGTGAAGGCATGAAGGTCAAGGCTCGTGTACTCTCTGTCAACTTTGCCAAGAGGCAAATGCGTCTCACGCTCAAGAAGACATTGGTCAATTCGGAGGCACCCACCATCAATTCTTATGACGATGTTAGCATCGGGATGCAGACACTCGGAACGATTGTCAAGGTGCAGCAGAATGGTGCTCATATTCAGTTCTACGGAAGGCTAAAGGGATTCCTTCCGGTGTCGGAAATGAGTGAAGCATACATTCGTGATCCTATGGAGCACTTCAGAGCTGGACAGGTTGTCAGTGTGCATGCTCTTGAGGTTGATCCGGAAGCCCGAAGGCTCATTGTATCTTGCAAAGACCCCGGCGCATTCGGACTGGAGAAGCAAACCGCTCTCAAGAACTTGAAGCTAGGCGATATTGTATCAGCCAAGGTGACTCAAAAGACCGAGGATCAAATTTTTGTGGAGCTTGTCGACAGTCAACTAAAGGCCATTCTACCAGTCGGTCACCTTACTGACAAATCATCTTCAAAGAACCAGTATGCCTGGAAGCGAATCTCAGCTGGACAGACTCTGTCTAACCTCATGGTTCTCGAGAAGAATGAGAACCGACGAGCCATTACTCTCACCCAGAAACCCAGCTTGGTCAAGGCTTCACAGGATAACAACCTTCTCAAGAGCTTTCACGATGCGAAAGTGGGCGCGGTCGTCCAGGGCTTTGTACGAAACATTACGGTTACAGCTGTGTTTGTTCAATTCGCCGGAAGTCTCAACGCATTGCTGCCGAGAGGAAAACTGTCGGCCGAGGCTCAATCACAGCCTGACTTTGGCCTACGCAAGTTCGAGTCTATCGAAGTGAGAATCATCTCGACCATTCCGGATCTGAAGCGCATTCTGGTTGCACCCGCCGACTCACCCGCGCCCGAGGCTGCAGCCAGCAAGCCCAAAACTTCTAACAAGGCTCCGGCCCCAGAAGACGGCCTTACGTTTGGTAGCACAGCCCAGGCCAGAGTCACATCCATCAAAGACACTCAGCTGAATGTCCAGTTGGTGGACAGCGAGATTCAGGGCCGCATTGACGTTTCTCAGATTTTCGACAAATGGGAGGACATTGTCGATCCCAAGGATCCTCTTGACAAGTTCAACAAGAAGCAGATTCTCCGTGTCAAGATCCTCGGAGTTCATGACGCCAAAGACCATCGCTTCTTGCCCTTTTCTCACAGATCTGCTCATTCGGTTATGGAACTCACCACCAAGCCCAGCGATCTGAGCAGCGAAGCCCCCAAGCCGATCTCTTTTGACGACCTGACAGTTGGCGACACTCACATTGCCTTTGTCAACAATGTTACATCTCAGTATCTTTGGGTCAATCTCTCTCCCAATGTTCGCGGCCGCATTTCCATCATGGAGGCCTCGGATGACTTGTCTCTCCTAAACGACCTGGAAGCCAACTTCCCTATCGGATCAGCTCTCAAAGCAAGAGTGACGTCGGTTGATGCTAAAAACAACCGTCTCGATCTGTCTGCTCGATCACCCAATGCTTCTGAAGCCATAACTTGGGCTTCGCTGAAGCAGAACATGATCCTGCCCGGCAAGATCACCAAGGTCAACGAACGACAAGTCCTCGTGAAGCTGAGTGAAACCGTCTCCGGCCCGGTCCATCTCCCCGATATGGTAGATGACTATGGCAGCGTCGACACACTCAAGTACAAGAAGGGCGATATTGTTCGTGTTTCGATTGTTGACGTCGACCCCAGCAACAAGAGAATCCGCCTTTCCATGCGACCCTCGCGAATCATGAGCTCTACATTGCCTGTCGCAGACAAGGAAATTAGCAGAATTTCACAGCTTGCCACGGGTGACATTGTCCGAGGATTCGTCAAGAATGTTGCCGACAAGGGTCTCTTTGTCTTGCTGGGAGGCCAAGTTACTGCTTTTGTCAAGATTTCCAACCTTTCTGACCGATTCTTGAAAGAGTGGAAGGACAGCTTCCAGATTGATCAGCTAGTGAAGGGCCGTATCATTTCTCTCGACGCCGCCACAGGCCAGCTCGAGCTCAGTCTGAAGTCTTCCGTTGTCGACGAGGATTACACTCCCCCTGTAGGCTATAATGACATCAAGGAGGGCCAGATCGTCACAGGTGTTGTCCGCAAGGTTGAAGAGTTTGGTGCCTTCATCCTTATTGACAACTCGGCGAACGTGAGCGGTCTATGCCACCGAAGCCAAATGGCTGACAACGCCGTGAAGGATGCCACCAAACTCTACAAGGAGGGCGACAAGGTGAAAGCAAGGGTTTTGGATATTGATGTCACCAAGAGGAAAATCAGCTTTGGCCTGAAGCCATCCTTCTTCGAAGATGAGGACACTGATATGGATTCTGATTCTGAGGCCGGTGCAGCGCTCGATGGCGAGGGCGAGGATGACGAGGAAGGCATGGATCTGGATGAAGACACCTTGTTGAAGATTCTCGGCACGGACAACCAGGGCGACTCTGACGATGAGGATGAGGACGAAGAAGATGAAGACGAGGAGGAGGCAGCTGAGGATAGCGATGAGGAGATGGAGGGCGCTACCGCTACCAAGAAGGCTAGCGGTCTAGGTGGCGGTAAAAAGTCAACATGGTCGACAAATCCATTTGATGAATCTGGTTCAGAATCAGAAAATGATTCTCAGGCCGAGCAGGCGGACAAGAAGAAGAAGCGGAAGAAGAAGGGCGAGGCTCAGGTCGACCGAACGGCCGAGCTTGATGCCCATGGCCCTCAGACATCCAGCGACTACGAGCGGCTGCTGTTGGGTCAACCAGACTCCTCAGAGCTGTGGATCGCATACATGGCTTTCCAGATGCAGGTCAGCGAGCTGCCCAAGGCACGTGAGATTGCCGAGAGAGCCATCAAGAGCATCAACATCCGGGAGGAAACCGAGAAGCTCAACGTCTGGGTTGCATATCTCAACTTGGAGGTGGCCTATGGCAGCAAACAAACGGTCGAAGACGTGTTCAAGCGAGCTTGTCAGTACAATGACGAGCAGGAAGTGTATGAGCGACTGGCCAGTATCTACATCCAGTCGGAGAAGCTCAAGGTAAGAACTGCTGCCCCCCTTAACTACTAAAGGATATCTACTAAACTCTATCACAGGCAGCGGATGAACTGTTTGAGGCCATGCTGAAGAAGTTTGGTGCCAAGGCACCCAGCGTCTGGACCAACTACGCACACTTTTTGCACGTCACCAAGAACGAGCCGGCTCGTGCCCGCGCTCTGCTGCCGAGAGCCACCCAGCAGCTGGACAGCCACAACGGACAGAACATTGTCAGCCGATTCGCCGCCCTCGAGTTCCGCTCGCCCAACGGCGAGCCCGAGCGCGGCCGCACCATGTTTGAGGGCCTGCTCGCCGCCTGGCCCAAGAAGGGCGATCTCTGGAACCAGCTGCTCGACCTCGAAATCGGCATTGCCAGCTCCAGCGCCGACTACACCGCCGTGAGGGACGTGTTTGAGAGGAGAACGAGGGTCAAGGGTCTGAAGCCACAGCAGGCGGAGAAGTGGTTCCGCAGATGGGCCGCTTGGGAGGAGAAGCTGGATGCCAAGGGCAAGGACAAGGTCATGGCCAAGGCACAGGAGTGGGCATCTGGGTTCAAGTCTAGAAAGGAGGCCGAGGCTGCGGCTGCGGCGGCAGAGGATGAGGAGATGGAGGAGTAGATTAGACGGGGGAGGAATCATGTGAGGATATTTTAAAAATGGGCGGCCCCTTGGTAGGCTGGGCGTTGGTAAATATTTTGTTTAAAATTTTGATGCATATACTATTCGTGTTTGGGTTGATCAGACGATTTTCGGATGTCGGTGCGGATTCGATGGAGCGTCGGTGACTGCGTGGGACTTGGTCGGCTCGAGTGCAAGTCCAACATGATTAACCAATGGTAAGTCTTAGCGGCTTCTCTCTTTACGTTGCGCAATTCGATTTTATTGAAGAATCATTCGATTTGTTCATTTTGTGAGAAGGAAGTATCGAATTTCTTGGTTCGCTGGTTGCTGGATGTGAAGATGGGAGAGCATTCGATGGCGGGTTATCGGCCGATAGCACCGAAAGGTTGCGGCGAGTTCGCCGAGGCTCCGGGGGAGCTTGCGGGCTGTCGGTGTAGCTTCTTTACACGGATCGTAATCGCGCCAATTGGATTGCACCTCATTGATAATTCGATGGATGATAACAGAGAGGCGGAAGAAGGTATATGACACCTTTGATGTATCTCCGTAGCCTACGTGAAGGTGTCCGTGAAAGGAGGCTGTGATTCAGTCTTGCACTTGGGGTGGCTGCTTATCCTGCCCCAAGATGCTATGGGGTCAGTAAACTCCCACCAAGATGGGCTTGCCAGTCGGAAGCACATGAGCTGCCATAAAGAAGAGGTATAGATGATGTGGTATATTGTCAAGTATTGGATTCAAGTCAGTGCTCCATAGAGTCGTCTCTTCTTGTCTTATCAGTATTGAGGAAACATGCGGCAGACGATGCACTTAACGCTCCGAGACACTGTCTCAAGATCTCCGTGAGACATTCGCAAAGGATCCGAGACTAAAGCTCGGCAGTTAGTTTATGTATCCGACGCGGTGGTACAAGCGTCACGCTGCTAAGAGCTCGTGGTTACCGATTAGGGTTCGTACATGGGAGGTCATTCGCTGGAGGGGGGAGATGGTGTGCGATGCTTGGCGAGGATGCATGAGGATTACATCATGAATGGAGATGGCAGCGATGTGGCTTGCCATCTGCTGGATGGGTGTGATTATGATGCAGCAACGATGAGAGGGGGAAAGCTAGAGTTGAATCGTCAGATCTGCACTGGTTTGTCTGGGCGTGTGTGTTCTATGTAAGCGTCCCGGAGATCCGACTTGTCTTTGGTTGAGTGTGTGTACTAGGTAGGTATATGGTATATGTCACCCGTTGCTATACCAGAACTACGAGTCTCGCATCAATGGAAAGGGACTGGAGAAAGCAAATCAGCCAGAATCCCGGTAGAAAAGCAGCAAGTAATAAATGCAAGATGAGGATTTCGCCGCGAATGCCGCCAGTCAACCGGACGTCGGCATTGTCGCCATTCGAATTCACGGTGACGCGTTTTTGAAGGGTCAAGATCTGGCTGCGAAGGTACATCCGAAAGGCCGCGCAGACGGTACCTCCGCCGTCAAAAGTGTCCGAGGCGGCAGCAAATGGACAGCGGGAGCTCACCGAGGAGCCGCCCGAGGGTACACCGGCTACTTGTACCTCGAGCTGCTTCGGGGCAGTCGCTGAAGGAATCCTCCCCCGAAGTTGTCAGTCAGGCTTGGTATCACGCCAACTCCCCCCCTTTTGCGTTACCAGTACATTGCCTTCCACTGCAATCCGCCGCAAACACACACCAGCACCGGGCAGCACTGTATGTACCATCGAAATGCGAGAATCACGGCGGGAAAAGGCGTCATAATTCACTGGCCGGTCTGATAGGGCCAGTGGGCGATCGCGCAATGGGTCATGGGCAAAAAACGTCTTGGAGGCGCCCGAGCACGTCACCCGCACTAGCGCCCATCGGTCCCTCGGGCAGGGCTCAAGGGCCCCCAAACTCTGGACGGCCGGACGGTCGCCTGGCGAATGCTGGACTCTGCCTTCTTTTTCACCATCTCGAGCGCTGGGATTCTGGCATCGCCGGTTGTTGGGCTGGACTGGACTGCTGGATTTTTCTGCGATTTTTTTGCGGCCCGGGTTGTGCGATTATTGTTCACGATGGGCTGTCGGGTGTGCAGAGCGCGCAAGGTGAGTCTCTAAAACTGCCTGCTAAACCTGCTACTGCTGCTACTGCTGCTACTGCCACTACTGTTACTGCTATTCTCTCGCTGCCTTTACCCAAGCTTGGCCCACTTCAACTCCCGCTTCTCTCTCTTCCATCCAGCTCTCTCCATCATCTCCTCATATCATACCGACAGACAGCTTCTCACCTCTTCTTTCTTCTTCTTCACAGGTCAAATGCGATGGCAGGCCAAACGGATGTCGCAACTGCGAGCGCCTCCAGCTCGACTGCGTCGGCGACAATGGCCTCGCCGCCGGCCGAGCAACGCCGATGTCCCTGAGGAAGATCCGCACCTATCGCTCATGTAAGAGCTGTCGTCTATCCAAAACCAAGTGCAACGGCGACCGCCCGAAGTGCTCGCGATGCGCCGCCAAGAAGACCGAGTGCGTCTACGACGGTGGTTCGGCGCCGCGATGGGCGCGAAACCTCGACCGTGGATCCAGGACGGCGTCGACCGAAGGTAGCCGCAGCAAGTCGCGGGAGCTCGCCATTGCCATGCTCGAGGCCAGCGACGAGGCCGATGCGCAGGACGACACACCAATGACGAGCATTGGCTCTGCTGAGCCGCTGAAGCTGGGTGATATCACGGGGTCAAAGGCCCTCGGCAGCGCCCGGAGCGTTGCGTCCATCGAGCCCTCTGGTTCCGACATATTGTCATGGTATGTACTGGTTTGTTGGCGTGACATGATTTGATATAACAGTCTCCTGCTCACACACGATTCTCCAGGCTTAACTCGCCGAGTCTTCCCACCGGTCGTAACCTACGGCGAGTGGTGGAGCAATACTTTGCCAATGTCCATCCCATCCGATGCTTCGCCTTTGTCCACAAGCCATCCTTTATGCGCCAGCTCGACAAGGGCTTCACTAGCGATGACGAGTCGGCGCTGCTGCATATTATATGCGCGCACGGAGCAAAGTCAGTGGCCATCTATCTTGTGGAGAGTGCGAGCCTGCAACGGCATGCTGACATGCTGTGAATAGATTCTACGTCTTGAACCAAAATGAGCACGCCTCTGCGTCTAGCTTCATCCGCCTTGCCGGCAACGAGTGGGCCAAGAGGGCAGAGTTTCTCATTCTGACCAACTTTGGAAAGATATCCGTCCAAAGACTCATGGTAAGCTAACCCAGCCTTATAAGTTCTCAACCATAGTGATCATTGCTCACCATTCCCAAGGTCGCTATACTACTTCATGACTTTCACTTCCGACTTGGAGAATACTCCCACGCCTTGATGCTCAGCGGCCTTGCCGTCCGCATGGCCCACGCTCTCAAAATCAATGTCGAAGCGTCCCCCGACGTGCTCTGTACCGACTCCAGCGAATCCGCGCCGTCGGTCGTCACCAGGGAGAGTCGTCGGAGGCTCATGTGGGCGTGCTACGTCCTCGATGCGTGGGCTGGCAGTGGCATCGATCAACTTACCCTTCTCCGCGAAAACGATATCAAGATCCAGCTACCTACCAACGAGAGGAATTTTGGGCTACGAATAGCCTCGGTGACAGAAACCCTCGGCGTGGGGCATGTCCTCCAGTTCCTGCCGCCTTCTGTGGTGCCGAGAAAGCCATCGGCAAACATGGGCATCATGGCATACTATATCCGAGTGGTGGCGCTCTGGAAACGAATTGTTAGGTATGAACTTTTTGATCTTACCAACAATTATCCCTTGGCAGTGTTCTCATTCTAATGGCCATCACAGATATGTAAACCAGCTAGACTCCAATCCTCCACCTTGGCTCCCCGAATCGCCGTTTGCTGCTCTCGACGCCGATCTTCGTCTGTGGCAGCGAGAACTCCCAGAATTCGTCGAGTACTCGATGGAAACCATTTATGCGCGATTGGATTCAAATCAGCTGGGTGCATTGGTCTTGATACACTGTACATACCACCACAACTACTTGGAGCTGTATAAGCTGTCCATGCCAGATTTATTCAAGCTTCCCAAACCTCTCGTCGTTCCGCCGGAGCACCACGAATTCCTTCAATCCGCACAGGCCAACTGCTATCATCATGCGCAGCAGATAGCCGACATCCTGGCTGAGGCTGCCGATCACGGAGCGAATCTCTTGTCCGACAGCCTGCTTCCCTACTTTGTGTATGATAGCAGCAGGGTGATGCTGTACTACGTTGCGCGTTTGCTCGACCCGAACAGGCCCGATGCCCAATCAAAACTGGGCGATGCCATCAATGCTGTTGAGAGCAACCGCCGGGTTCTCCGGATGATGTCTGCCCTCTTTCCGATTGCGCAGTCACTTGTAAGACTCCGGAAGTCTATCTCGTTTAATGGTCTCATACTAACTACCTCTATAGTCAAATACCATTGATAGGTGGCTGACCAAGATTCGGCAAACCTCTAATAGAGATGACCTCGTGAGCAGGATCTTGTCGGAAGCTCGCTCCGAAACTCAGGAGGGCGAAAAGTAAGTATATATCGGACCGTCGGGTCATCTTGTACGCTTGGCTAACACGGTATCTTACAGATCTACGCCCGTGTCGGTCAGTCCCGTACAAGGCACTCCGGAGTACATGCTTCCGTCCATTTCGCTTCATTCACTTGCACGGACGGGTATTGCAACGAGGCGAGCCGCTGATCGTGCCAGTGGCGTTCGGGGACTAAGCTGGTCTGCCGAAAGTCCGAGCTCCGGCACTTGGGATCGGAACAATGCAGCGCAGCAGCTCGTTGGCCTCAGCCAGGACGGCCTAACTTCATCACGATCCGGACTTCAACACGAACAGCCGGTACCGACAGCCCTGCCGCAACCACCGCCAATTCAAGCCAAGTGGGGTGGGCCGATTCAGCCAATGTTTGAGGCACTCGATCTTGACGACTTGCAAAACTTTTTATCATGGGACATGTATGGTATCATGGACATGGGCGACCCCATTCCGGAC